GGGCGCTATCTCGTTGTTGAATGAGCGTTCTCGCCGTAAAGAATACGTTTTTTTCCGGACGCGGAAATTACCTCACCGTGGCGATAGCGGTGTGTGTATGTGTGTGTGTGTGCGTGTATGTATATCGTCGGATCCGGGGAATCCCCAGCCGCGGCGGCCGCGCTCCTGTTTAACCCGCGAGTGCGATACTCCGTAAATGTATACGTACGTGTATACGCGTGTATAATTGTATTCCGTATATAGACTTATATAAAACGCACAAAGCCGAAGGCTACTCATCCTTCTCTCGGTTTCTTCTTCTTCTTCTTTTTTATTTATTTATTTATAGCGGCAAGCCGTTTTCTCTCCCCCGACTTGGTGATGTTCGCGCGACATACTCGGCTTCGAGTTTTTTTTTCCTCTTCTTCTCTCTTCTTTTTTTTTTGTCTTTTTGCTTTTATCGATGGAAAAAGAATTCGGGCTTAACTACGGCGGATCCCGTGGGATTACTTTTAATATTCTATATAATGCTTTCACGTGTGTACTCGTCTAGACGCTGTCTCTACGTACGTGTTGATGAGAGATTGCGCGTGCGTCTGTATGCCTGTGTGTGCATATGTACATATACAAATATGAATAGATGCATATGTACATATACGCATGTACGACGGTGTGTTCGTGTAAGTGTGATCTGTCTCACGTGCAATCGTGTTCTGTTTTATGATAGCCTATAATACCTCGAAACGCTGGTCAGTCGAAAAAGGGAAAAGGTGTGAGTATATCTTCTTCGCGTATATATGCCTGTCTGTGTGTGTAATGTTCGTATATATGTACGCGTACATGATACGTTGCCTGTAAGCGTGTGTGTACGTGGTGTGTAGATGGTTACGTTCGAGTTCGATTCTTCCTCGAGGTTCACTCAAACGAGACCGACGACGCGTAACCTGCACGCACCGTAGTCGTAAAGCTTCTCGACGTCGATCCGTCGGACCCTTCACCCTGACGTATCCTCTTGCCTGCAGCTATTCTCCTCTTCCGTTTTCCGTTTCTTACTACCAACGACCGGACGTCCGCAGATCCACGATATATACCGTCCTACTGTCTCTCGCTTTCTGAGAAGGAAGGGCACAGGAAGCTCCGCTTGGTCGTTTAGAACGGCCGATTGTTCGACGCTGAAACCTTGTTTGTTGTCCTCCTCCTCCCGAGCTCGCATATCTCCGTGAAAGTCTCCGACTGTGATTCCGAAAATTCAGCCCCCGAAGGATATCGCCCGCTGCTTCAATCGTCGCTTCGTCCGTTGTCGCCCCGGCTGATAACGACAACGTAACCCTAATAACCCCGTCGCATCGGCCCTCGACGCGGAGATCAATCATCGGAAGACACGGAGCGTCGAAGCGCGCTGCGCTTCCGAGCGACCGCAATTCGAATTCCCGGGAGCCAATCTTCGACAGCATCGACCGGCCTCGCTTCCGCCTTCGAACTTGCGTCCCTTCCCCCGCTTCTTCGCGCCTCACACCGCGAACGTCTTCCCAACCTCGACGAGATCGCGGGATCCTCGACAGTTTGTCGCTTTGTGTCGAGCACGTGTAATTGCCTCGTCGTTTCAGGTTCATCGATACTTTCAGAATAGGTGGCATCTCGAGGATAGGAATGATGAAGAAGCTTTGTAGGATTTCGTTCTCTCTCTCTCTCTTTCTCTCTCTCTCTCTTTCTCTCTCTCTCTCTCTCTCTTTCTTTCTTTCTCTCTCTTTTATCATCGGCGATCAGCGGGGGAGAATTCTTTCATGGAGACACACCTCGGCTCGTCCTCTCATATTCTTCGTCTTTTCTCCTTCTCGATCGCGATATTACAACGCCTTCGACGATATTCTCACTTCTTGAGCGGCTACAAGCTACGAAAGCACAGTGGACAGATCACTCGACGGTAGGACACAACGGGGTGACGGTCTCTCTCTCTCTCTCTCTCTCTCTTCTCCGAAAAGAGTCTTTCCAGGACGAGAGATCCTTCAACGGGAATGTGGAATCCGTCGGAGCGTCTTCCTATACCTCCTTCTTCTCTTCCTCTCCCTCCTCCTCCTCCTTCGTCACCTCCTCCTCTCCCTCCTCTACCTCTTGCCATTTCTTCCCACGGTTTCGAGGACGCGACATCTAATTCTCCGTGTCGTTGTTGCCCTTCCCCCAAAACTTGTCGAAGCGATTTCGCGCCTTCTCCAGAACGTCGCTCGCTGCCGAACGCTGCGCCGAGCCTGGAACCACCGGGGACGCTTCCAGCACGTGATAACCGCCCGCGGTGCTACCGGTGGTGGACGCGGTGTCACCGGCGCCTACGGCACCGCCGCCGGTCTGAGGCGACTCGGCCTCGAGAACACGATAACCCTGCTGCGGCGCGGACGACGACGACGCCGTTGTCGTCGCCGTCGTCGTCGTCGTTGTCGTCGTCATCGGCGCGCTCGTGGTGGTCGGCAGGCGGCCGCTTTCTTGCTTCTTCCTCTCGAATTCGAACATCGGGTCCTCCAAGCATCTCAGGTACGTGCCCGCCACCGGTTTTATCGACGGCTCCGGGCTCTGCCGCTCCTTGGTCTCCTCGGCGGTGTCGGCGGCCTCCTGGAATTGCGCGATATGCGAAAATAGCGAAAATGGCGTGAGATTTAATCGAACCAAGTAAGATTTAGAACGTCAACTGTCAATATAAATAAATTGGTCATGTTTACTTTGTATACTTTTGGTACTTCATAAGCGTACGAAATAATTAATTAGTTTCTACGATATACAGAATGTCCTGTTCGCCATATACTTATACTTGTAGTTTAGGCCAATATGAATAAAAGAAATCAAAATGTTGAGTCTGTAATTGTAACTTGCAAAATGATGCAGGACTTTTCTGCTTACGTTGACCTAAACTACAAGTATACGACGGTTGGGACGGATTGCATCAGACACTCTGTATAATTGAATGAGAAATACACCGGCTGACTCGCTGCTCCTGACCTTTTCCCCTTTTGTAAGTGTATCCTGAGCGGTTGTGGGTAACGGGCTGTCCCTTTCCGAGTCCAGATCTTTATGTCCGTTAATGCCGCTAAAACTACCGAGCGAAACGCTCTCGCTCTCGGGCGACTTGTAGCCGGAGTGCTGGGAGTGTTGCGATTTGTGCTGTGCCGCGAGCTCCGGCGGTGCTGACTGCGGCGCCGATGGTACCGACGACGGTGCCCACGTCTTCGCCTCGCTATGCGGACGCGTTAGGGGCTCTTCGGTAAAAAGAAGTCAGAACAGGGCATTGTGAGACATCGGAAACGTTGCAAATCGGATATCTACATAATAATACTATTCACTTCATGAATTCAATATCCGATTGGATTTCCGGCGATTCCTTCGGACCGAGTTAAACGAAGATCAGTTAAATGCATGATCAAATAGACGAAAACGTTCATTCATCGGTTAGATGAATGAACAGTTAGACGAAAATTCACGATAAGAAAAAAAGAAATGTGTGTGTTATCAGCTTTTTCATTCTTCACGATATGACTTCAAAAATAAATTCTTAAATTCTAAATATTAGACGACATTTAAGAAACAGCCTGTATTTATTTATTCGCTCCGACAGTACGAGAGATTTGCCGTCTGCTTTGAGTGATTTTCCCCCGTGCGTTCGAATGGCGAGATGGAAGCCTGGTCTTACCCTCTCGGACGTTTTGCGTGACGGTAAAGGTTTTGCCGGTATCGAGAGGCACGGTCCAGTTTACGGGCTCCGGCGAGCGCATGATCATCTGCTCCGGCGACTTCACCCTGGTCGGCTCCGGCGGACTTTTTACCACCGGCTCGTCGTCGAGCCACGGACTTGCCGTGGCTGGCGCCGGTGGTGCCTGCGTTGTCTGCGACGGCGGCGTCGACGCGACGCTCGAGTCCCCGCCGGTGACATCCCCATTTACCTGGGGCTCGGCCGTCACTGGAACGTTTAACCGCCGCTTTAATGCCGACGTAGGGCCTGCCCTTCCCCTTTCCCACCCCGTGACCCCGCGAAGCTTGCACTCGATGGAGCCGAGGACGACCGGACGACTCGCGTCTTCCACACCCGACGTTCTCTCGACGTGTTCCCGCGAATTGATTCACATCGGACGACCGAGCAACGACGACGACGACAACGCGGAAATTTGATATCTATGAAATCGCCACCCGGCGAGAACGTCGAACAATTATTCGCGAGAACTACGAAACGGCGCGCAGATAGTTTACCGTGTATCCTCCGCCCGTTGTCGTCGCAGCAGCGTGCTTGCAGTCGGAATACCGGGGTTGATAACTTAACAGTCTAGGTGTTGGCCTTCGTGTAAATTACTAGGAGTTACAGTGCCACGGAGGAGTTACAAGTTACACGATCGGTGATGCCGCCCGAGGGGCTGTGGAATCGTGAATTCGCTTCAACCATTATAAATGCAGTATGCATAACTCGACGTGACCAATTACAGGTGACCAGGAAAACAACCCTTTCGCTGCGACGTCAGTCGCGTCTCGCCGACCGTGAAATAATCGCAAAATAATGAGAGAGAGAGAGAGAGAGTATTAAAATTCAATATTTAAAATTTTAATTTTCACGAATCCCTTCCACTATAAATGAATAAATAACCCAATAAATATTCATGACTTAAATATTAAATATTAATAATGAGTATAATTAATCTCTTCACTCCCTCAGCTTCAAGCTCTGACGGAAGGTCGCAAGCGAGAGCGTTCGTATAACGTCGACAAAAGGGCCGAAAGGGAATGAGATGATATCGGAACATCGAATTCCCTCTCGCCGCCCCATTTATTTTCGGACGTGAAAAATACGTGGAGCACGTCATCGGGTGGACACATCAGTGGATTGGACACTAAAAAACGCTGGGTATTTCGCGCTGCTGCGACGAGACGACTTCATCGACCGTGTCGTCCTGACACCTTCGTGAACGTCGCGAGTTAGCCGCGAATTAGCTTTCACACACACACACACACACACACACCGTTCCCTCACATTCTCCCGGCCAAAAGATCAAGGAACTTAATCGTAACATCGAGTGCAGGCGGAACTCTCCTCGCGGATGTGAGCAAGAGACTACATCTAAAGACACTGCGAGTATAATAATATATATATATCCCGGGTAGTATATAATGGCGTACTTAGGATGCAGTAAAAAAAAAAAAGATACGTATAACAAACATATAGATGCACAAACATGGAGAGAAAGAGGAACAATGCAGATATCTATACGTAGTGGACACGAGAACGCCGAGGCCTCGGTGGTCCTCCAAGAGTTACGGGCGATCAGAGCCAGTTTTAACGTCGCGGCGCATAGTTTGCGCGTTCCGGGCCGCAATTACGCCCGCAATTACTACGCGACATCGATTTTCGGCGGCTCGGCTGATTTCGCCGATTACACGCGCCGGTTAGACGTTGATCGGCGATGAGACCGAGATCGGGTCGACCGGAAGTGGAAGACCACCGCGAGCTGGACGTTCCCGCCTGGTGGGATCGTCGACTTTAATCAACCTCCGGAATAACGCTGTCGAGATCTTTTACGATATTCGTGGGAGACACCTTGTATACGTACGTATATATACATACAAAACGCACGCGCGCGCGCGTGTGTGTGTATATGCGTGTGGGTGTGCAGGTGTGAGAGTGTCGCGCAACAGGTTGACAAAGGACTTAACATAGAGACGGTCTGTTATTCCCCGCTTCGACTGAGCGAAACGATCCTGCTTACCCCCTCCCTTCACTCCCCGACTGTGCACGGATCCCGCGATCGAGACATCTCATTTCGCGCTTCGTCCGTTTCGACGAGCGCTCCAATTATCGGTGTCAAAGCAAGCCCTGCGAGGATATCATTGTGAGAATAACGAATCGCGTGCCGTACATCGTCGGAAATACAGCGTGCTTGAAATCCGGCTGGAGAACCGTCCCAGTTTCTCCGGTTTCCAGGGTAAAAATCTCACTTCTCCCGCCGGACGGATTCTCGACGACCGTCTCTCGAAGAGCGAACGGGAAGCTGCGTTTAATGTCTCGCGTCGTTCTCCCTTTCTTTCGTTCGTGTTTCATCGAGGCAGCTGCCAGAGCCCGCGATCTTTGCCGGCGCTCGGCAAAACTCGAGATTTCTAAATTAAGTTTATTTAGTTCTACGTTAAGTCTTCATAGGTCTTCTGCTGTGCTCCTTCCGATGCCTACAAATGCCAAGTTATTTTCTCCACCTGAAGACTTAACGTGGAATTTAAAATTTCTCTCCGGCAAGTCTGAATTCCCTTCGTCGAAGGAGCGTTATTAATGCCTCTCTAACGCTACAAGTTGGAAGTTATTTTCGTCTTCTTCACTTGAAGAATTAACGTAGAACTAAATAGGCTTAATGTAAGTCTAAAATCAGATCGCCCGAGTCGAAATTTTAAATTCTACATTAAGGTCAGTATTCATAGTCGAATTATATTTGAGGCCGTCCGTAAGTTCATCTTCAGATGTTTCAAAGCCAATGAAATGAGCCGTACAGCATCTGAAGATAAATTTAAGACGGTCTTAAATATAAGATCCAACTATGAGTATCGGCCTACGTCTTCAAGTGGAGAAAACGGAAATAAGTTTCCACTTGTAGCACCAAAAGAGCACATTAGAAGGCCTTTGAACACTTAATGAAGAATTAAATAGGACGAAAAGTAGGAGTAAAATTTCGACTCGAATGCACACAGCGACGCTCTCGAAGAGAATGGCTACGAGTTACCGCGCAAAAACGCACAATATGCATAAAGGACTGTCTGCAATAGCCGTAAAGTTTGCAGTAAGCTAAATGACCAACCACAGTAGATTATTCTTAGACTATAAAGGACACTCTACAATGTGTCGCAAACATCCTGTCGCCAATCGCGAAAGATGACAACTACTAGTTACAAAGTGCTATTTCTGGTTGCAATGAGATGAAATCACCAGTTGCTGTCGCCAAGAAGTTAAAAGTTGGGCGATTCTTCTTCAGCAACCGCAATTGTCTATTGAAAACCGAAAATAGCACTTTGTAACTAGAAGTTGTTATCCTTCGTAACTGGCGACGGGGAATAATGGAACGCCCTTTTAAATCCAATTAGTTTATCGTTTACTCTGCGGCTATTATAGACGGTCCTTAAGGCTTTCACACACGGATTGTTGTAACAGTAAACATAAGGCGTAAGAATGAACGAATAAACGAACTTATAGAATTGTTTAATCAATCGTGAAATAAACATAAGCTGTGCTTATCGTTAAACACTGTAACTTATGTATGCTTTATGATAGGTTGGACAGTTTTATACGTTCGTTTATTGGCTAATTCTTACGCCTTATGTTTAACGGTTACGGCAATCCATGTGTGAAGGCTTTTAAGCCTCGATCCACAATTTACTTTAAGACGCGAAAAGTAAGCAGACCTACCAGCCACGATCGATTGTTCTTCCAACAAACGACTGTGATTGGTCAATTTGTTTACCGCTTAGGAGCAAGATTGCGGACCGAGATGTACGTCCGAATGTACAATAAGTGCGGTAAGCTTTAAGCCGTAAGAAAATCGACCAACGATCGATTATTCTTCTCACATTCGACCGTTACTGGTCAATTTCTTACGACTTAAAGCTCGCTACATCTATTGTAGATCCGAGCTAATGTAAAGTCAGACGCGAATAATCAGGTGTACGCGAGCATTTCGGGAATAATCCAAGTCAATTTGCGTAGGATTTGCGTGAACCTTCTCTCATGGAATTGCGACCGCTGTGTTTTCACACTCGCGCTCGGTCTCGCTGTCGTGAGGCTCAATTCTACGACGTGGAAGAGAATTCACAAACGGGCGGAGTACCTCGTTTTACACGAGCCAGACGAGTCTGGTGTCGTGTACGTCGCCGTGCGAAGACGAAAGATCGATCCCGAGACTCCGTTATAGGTGCCGTCGGTGACCCAAGCGCATACAGTTGTACACTGAGAGAAATCTCACTGACATCACAATCATTTTCGGCTTCATCTATCCTGGTTTTAATCCACAAAATAGTAACAGCGACATGTACGTAAGATCATTATCGCTGACGTAGTCGTTACAAAAAAAACCGCGCCTCAAGTCATGTGATTCGATCAACCGATCCTCCCCAATATCGCTTCTCTATTTATATCTCGACTTCTAACGCTTACTGAGATCAATGAGATTGTCCTGACTTGAAATTCCTTTATTTATGCGATCACCTATGCAACACAGAAGCTTGCAGCAACATCGCTACGAAGTTGTCAACATTGCTACAAGCTGCTGCTGTGACGAGTACAGTTACAAACACTGAACATTTTTCTCTCAGTGTAGTTTCGTCAAAGAATACGCTTTCTCGCCTAATTTGCAATACTTTCCGGCGCTTTCCCGGCGGTGCCAGTACGTGCGGAAGTTTCTCCGTAGTGAGCAATTCGAGTTCTCGCCGAACTTCCTCACACCGGGGTGTGCGATTTCGCGAGAATTTTGAAGAGAGTACACACAGACGAGAAAGTTGCGGATTCGCGGCTGTCATGTACATACAAAATGTGTACGTACCATACCGTCTATAAGACGTACGCGCTTCGTGACGTATGCACTTCGAAACGAGTATAAGGTGAAAAGTCGTGGCTGGGAGGAGGAGTGTGTTTATACTCGGCGGGAGGTGAGATCCACGAGAGAATCTTGCCCGTGAATCAAGAGTGCCGTGCGTTTCTCCATCGATGCGGACACTCACTCTAGCAACACTTTTGCATCGCACATATGTTATGTGGCGGATTATTGCTCGGTGTTCGGCCAGAGAAGTCTGGATGTGGCGATTGTTGTGATGTTTCAGGGAGGATTTTCAGGGAGCATCGTGTGTGTGTGTGTGTGTGTGTGTGTGTGTGTGTGTGTGTCCCTTGTCGAGAGGTAATCGTCGGTACGTGCACTTGAGCGTCGATTATCCAACTCGATTAAT